TTATTGAATATGTTTCATTCATTATATATATATATATATATATATATATATATTGACGTGAAAAAATACGATGTATTGTTCATGAGAACAAAATCGTGTTTCTTCAAATAAATTTATGTATTCTGTGGAATAAAATTTTTATTTAAATATATATATATATATCAAATTAAATGTTTCTTTTAGTCGATACTCATATTTGATTAGACGTTATTTATTTTCGTTTGCCGAGCAGAATATTCGAGTAATATTATTAAAGAAAATGTGGGCTTTTCGACAAGTTTCCAAACCTGCATGTCGGATCTAACGACAGTTTCCCTCGATCCAGGTTCGAATCTTACCGGAGAGTACATAATTTTTTCTTTAATAAGATTTCTCGAATATTTACTCCGGTAGATGTAAATAAATATATATGTTGTTTAATAAATATTAAAATATTCAAATATCCACTAAAAATAAAGTTTAAAGTCATTAAAAATCTGTTGGATTAATAAATAACAAACACATATATATTGTATATGTGTGTATGTGTAGTTAATATCTGGCCATGATGAACGTTTCTATACGGAACTATTCAGTCGGCCATCTTTCATGATTTATTGAATATGTTTAATTATATATATATATATATATATATCGATGGCCCTGATGTTTTTCGATGCGAAACTTCTGAATCGGTCAATCATATAAGTCAAGTAAACTATTGCTGCTTTATATATATATATATATATATATATATATATACATACATGTGTGTGTGTATGTGTAAGAATTCATTTGCAAAAACATGCATATACATTTGTACATATGCAGCATTTGAAGGAATCTATCTCGCTGTCTCTCTCTCTCTATATATATATATATATACATAAATATATACATGCATAAATATATACATACATAAATATATATTCGTATATATGTATATATATCTATATATATATATATATATATATATATATCGATGGACCTGTTCTTCGATGCGAAATCAGTCAATCAGATAAGTCAAATGAACTATTGCTTTATATATATATATATATATATATATATATATATATATATTAGTATGTGTGTGTCTGTGTGTTTTTGTGTGTTTGTGTGTGTAAGTATTAATTTAAGACATGCATATAAGTTTGTACATATACAGCATTTGAAGACATCTATCTATCTCTTTATCTCTTGTCTATCTATGTATGTATCTATCTCTATCTCTCTTTCCCTCGCTCTCTCTCTCACTATATATATATATATATATATATATATATATATATATATATATATATATATATATATAACACTTTCACACTTTAATTCGCTTATATCTACCTATCCATGAGAATATTCCGAAAATTTCCCCTTCCTATCAAAAAGCCTTTCAGCATCTATCTATCTATCTATCTATCTATCTATCTATCTATCTATCTATCTATCTATCTATCTATCGAAGTCTGTTCATATCTATCTATCTATCTATCTATCTATCTATCTATCTATCTACAACTAAGCCTAATATAGTCATTGACGTGATCACACATAGATAATCGCGTCCACACACACACACACACACTCACACACATATGCTATTATGAATATTGACATGGGTGTAGAGATTGTTTTTCGTCAGGTTAGGTCGGTGTTTGCCAGAAAAATAAAAAGAGGTGAAAAAAAAATTTGGGGGGAAAAAGGAAAGAGAGCGAGAGAGGGAGAGGTAGAGTGTGTGTGTGTGTGAGAGAGAGAGAGTGAGAGCGGCTTTCTCTGACTACAAATCGCGACTTAACAGAGAGAGAGAGAGAGAGAGAGAGAGAGAGAGAGAGAGAGAGAGAGAGAGAAAAAGAGAAACAATTAATAAATAAATAGACGTGAAGGGTGTCAACAACAACAACAACAACAACAACAGCCAAAAAAAAAAAGTTGAAAAGAATGGGGCAAGTGTGAAAAAAAAAAGGCAGGGGTGCCGAAGGGAGGGTCTTGTGTTGAAGATTGAGGAGTTGGGGGAGTAGGGGGGGGCGTCTGTCTTGTGCAACCGGCTGTGGTTAATAGCAGGGTGGCTGAAACAACGCCTTATACAACACTTGTGATCGAAAAGTTGAAATAGGTTTTTGGTACTTCGTCATGATGAAGCGAGAAGAGAAAGTTTTTTTTTGTACACACACACACACGCACACACACACACACGCACACACACGCACACACACGCACACATAAACATTCTCTATCTCTCGCACACAGACATATATACAAACATACATACATATATATATATATATAGAAAAGCTTTATCATTTTTGATTGACAAACCTTTTCTATTCATTCTTTATCCTAACATTCTGTCAGTTCCCAAATCATATTTGATCCCAATTCACATATATATATATATATATATATATATATATATATATATATATATATATATATATGTGTGTGTGTGTGTGTGTGTGTGTGTGTTTGTGTGTGTGTGTGTGCGTTTGTGTGTATGTACATACTGTCTTAATTTGTTGAAATC